TGTTGATGTTGATGCGGGCAAAGTTGCAACAAATTATTCAATAAATAAGAAATTGACGGAAAAAAATCTAAATTATAGGCATTAATCGAAAAAAAAACCAAAAAGTTCTAATTTACATTGCAATTAAATATATTTTATACTATAGTTAATGCTCATATTAGAATAAATAGTATAAATCTGTTCATTTCTTTAGAAAGTTGACGATGTTGGTATTTGATTGAAAGGTCTAATCGCAGGCTTCTCCTAGTACAGTGGTATTCAAACTGGGTGCCTCGGTTTTTCAAATAAATTGTCGATTGCATTGAATTGTTCATCTAAAAAAAAGATCATTGTGCAGTGAAAATTATTGTTTGAAGTGTACGGTGTGCCGTGTATAATAAAAGTTTGAACACCACTGACCTAGTAGATTAGGTATGTGGTGTTTATTTCTCGAGTTTTCGAACTTTAGGCATTCAATTATCATTATTATTATTATATTATCAGCACAGTTATTTATCTCTTTAGTTTTATTTGTATTAAAATTATTTAATATTTGTCAAACAATACCACCGCAATCGAGCTCTAGCTATGTCTTATTCTTTACCGACTGACAATATTATAATTTTTATATTTATATTTTTTTTTCGTTTAAGTATTTTAATATAAATACATAATATAATTGAGGTTGCTTCTGTCTTTTATAATTTAAATACTAAGTGGTTGCTCAGGGATAACTTTTTCTGAGGGTTTATTTCCTAGAGATTTTTTTACGAGAATTTTTTTCCGATTACCGTGAAGAGTAAGTAGCTGTAAAGTAAGTTGTGTTATATATTTATGGACAAAAGTGCAATGACAAAATATCATTGGGCACGAAAAAAGATTCTGAGCAAAGACAATAGTTACGGTCTACATCACACTATAAGTATGTTTTACGACATACCTATTAATACATAACAATTTATTTAACTCCGGAAACATTTTAGAGCTTTTCCAGAACGTTTTAATAATTGGAGAGAGAAATATGCAATGCTTAAAATATTAACAAATGACAAACAGTTACTTTTTCAAAAAAACTTTCAAGCCTGTCTTTCAACTTTGACGTAAACAATATTATTCTTTCTCTACCAATTCAGTTAACGACCTTGGTATTCTCTTCTCAACGCCAAACTGACATTGTCTTGTCGCATTATCCCTATATAGAAAACAAACCACTAATGTATATACTAATCTATCTATGTTTGCACTTATTATGCGTAATTTTTACTACTTCAATGACCCTTTCACTTTCAATTTTAAAATGTACATTTCCATTTTTGTATTACTTCCATCGCCAGCTCTTGTCTGGACTCTAATGTGTTATTGTTTAAAAACAAATATTAAAATAATAGAATTGATGATTCACATTTATCTTATTTACCTCAAAACTAACCTTCACAATATTAGAGATCCCTGTTTATCTTATGAATCCCTTAGATATACCTATCTATGTTATTCTGCAAATATTCACACTATTAATGAATTTTAATTCTGTATTTTATTTTTTCCTCTTTGGTACACATAATATATTGTAACAGTTGTTAGTATTTTATTTCGTATTGCTTATTCACTTTTCATTGTACATTTGATTTCATTTGAGTTATTAAATTATTTTATAATTTATATCTCCTAATTAGTAATTACTGCACTTGTACTTTGTATTTGGACTCATGTCTGTGACCAAAAATAAATGAATACATATTGCTATAGAAATATTTTACTATTAACTAGTTATATGGTACCTAGATTGAATACATTTTTGTCGAAAACTTTGCATTCATAACATTGTAAAAAGTGATCGTTACTATTTATGTTATATTTTAAAATTTAAATGTTGTTACTGACTTTTGAATCTACTTAGGGTATAATATAACGATTTGAATATAATATGTTCGTGCCATGTTGGATGAATAGCAAATGTTTTCTATTGACAATAATAGCATAAAATAATATTTTAAAGATCTTATTGTGGATAAAAATATAATAATATTCCTACTTAAAATTTTCAAATCACCGTGACAAATATTTTTGAATTACAACAAAATATAACTATAAAATTGTTACACTTTAGTTCTACGTTCAAATATAAAATTTTGCCCAAATAATTTGAACTTAAAATAGCTATAACAAAAAAAAATGTAGTTCCGATGGTAAAAATCTTAGGTATGAATATTAAACATTTTATGAATTTGTAACTACAAAAAAATATGCAGCAATTTCTTTCAATTTTGACGAAATACGTCAAAATTTCAACTTCAAACTCTAACAAAAAAATAATGTGGATTTATACGCTTTTATTAATCGCTATTACCGTATTTAATGTTTTGAATAAGTGAAAAATATAGTACTTACCGAAATGTATTTTGAAAAAATTGAAAATATCAAATTTGTATGATAACTCAAAAAGAGCTTAAATATTTTGAAAATTATATTACATTACATGTGTTGAATATGATAATAAAAACCTTTGGTGGAAAATTCAAGTACATATCTACGCGGATAATCGTTTATGAATTGCAACATACGAAAATCGTATGATACGAGAAATCGTTTTTATTTACTCTTGAATATCTAATTTCGTCAACATTTAAACTTCAGGCACCTTTAACCCCCCCCCCCTCCCACTTTAAATTTTTTATTTTTGAATTCCAGTAACAAGCAAACCCAAACATCAAAATATTCTAAAACCAACACACACTTTGCGCTCTGTTCATAATCTAAAATGTCTAATCATATTGTTGTTGTGGGTACCTCAACCTAACTTAGGTATAACGGGAGATTTGAAGATTTAATGAAAAATAAAACTATCAGATGTCCTTAGTTGTAGCCTTTAAGAGAGGATCTAGTGGAGTCGCTTCGGTATAATAGCACCCCCATTGAGCCATGTTGATCTTAATTTTATTTGTGTTTGGTGAGAAATAATAAAATTTATACTCTCGTAGAAAAATTAAACTTAAGGCGTCGTGTGCCACTCGGTGGGTTGAAAGACAAGACTCTATCATTGCATTTCACGACTTATATAAATTAATTCTAATTAAACTCGAAGAGTTTGAAACAGATTCAATTAGAGAAACGTTTTGTAAAGCAGTACGTTTTAATTCTATATAGTATTCGAAGCAGTGAGTAACACTAGAAATAGTAGCTAATTTGTTTGCATGCACCCAGACGTCAAGCATTCAACCGCAAAAGTTCTAAACAAGACTTACTTTAGTGCTGTGCAAAATATTAAAATAGAACACAAGAGATGATTAATACAGAACAACTCGTTTCGTTTGAACGCACGCCGCCGCCCTTTACAAATCGCACGACGTCGAAAAAAATCGCAAGCCCATTTATTATTGTGATAAAATAATAATTCGATTTTGGAAAGGAAAAAGTGCGCAGGTAAAATATGTAATGAAATGTTATCAATTTTATAGGATTTGGCTTGAGCAATTTTTTCTACTTTTTTTTTATTTTGAATCCGTTTAAAGTAATTTCGTCGTATTTTCGCATGGACAATTTTTTTTAGATATCCCAAATAAATTGGTGGCATACATATTATAGTAAATATATATAAATATATATATTCCCATAAATAATAGGAATCATTACTTTTTTTTTTTACTCGAAACGTTAATTTGTATACTTTTTTGCTGTTTACCACAAACATTTTTGCTATACTCATTAGTTATTACTATGTTTTAATTATAGTAATTGATCCAATCGCAGATCACTTATTTTTGTGAATATATGTAAGTGGAACACATTAAACAAATTACAAGAGCATGTAACAATATAATGTTACTAATAATATATTATACATAAACCGTGTGTATAGGTCGTAATTATGTAGATTGTACACGCGTAATTTAATTTATCAATAATTATTATGATTTGTCAATAAACGTAATGTTTACATCTATATAAATGCTCAACACACAATAATTATGAACGAGCGATATCAGTTGTATATTAAAATGTATTTCGACATTTTTTTGTTTAGGGATTCGGCCATATTGTCTGTGTTTTTTTTATTAAAGTTGACATATTGTATTATGCCGCAATGAAGGATAGTGGACTATATCCTTGGTATTGCAGCATAAAACTTCTGAAAACATATTTGAATTTGTCATGACGTTTAGGCAGGTACCCGCTTAAAAGCAACTTTTCCACTTTTTAAAATTGAACTTTCTCGAACTAACCTTTCAAAATTAGATCGTGCGTGACCTGGCTTCGTAATGTAATTTTACAACAAAAGTTCCCAGTCCGTCAAGTCATATTATTAAGTAAAAAAGAATTCTTGATGCCATTTTGCATTTTTTTTCACTCATTAACAGAAAACAACAATAGTCAATACCAATCATAGATAATCTATACGCTCGTACGCCACAAATATAGCATCATGTTGTAAAAATAGAATGATAAATAAGCACACAGATTATCTAGCGATGGAAATGTGTCGTAACATGCGATGGATTGAGCATACAAACCAAGTTTCAAATTAAGTTGGGAAAATGTTTTATTTATTCGGGCAAAGTATATTTTGAAAAGAAGAAAACTATACTTATATAGTGTAAAAGGCTATCGCCAAACATATCATATCGTATGGGATCATCGGCTGAGGTGGGACTTGCGAAAATGTTTTAAAAACGTTACAGGACTAATCAAAACTCACTATTAAGAATTGCCCTAAATAACTAATTACACAATAATTACGCAACACACACCGCCGACTTGTTCGAAAATATCCATGTACTAGATGTTAGAAAAATATATTACAAAGCCGCGGTAGGTATAACTCATCTAAAAAACATAAGCTACCGATATAAACGTCATAATGTCAATGCAAGAAATATTTTATGAGAAAGGTAAACAATAAAACGACTACTGTAATGCAATTTGAAAAGGCAGTAACTTAGAGCTGTTTCACACGAGACACTTTGTGGCCAGCGACTAGTGTCTGAAAAGAATCGGGCGATTTAAAATATATTGATATTTAGAGCTGTTTCACACGAGACACTTTGTGGCCAGCGACTAGTGTCTGAAAAGAATCGGGCGATTTAAAATATATTGATATTTATAGAAGCGTTCACACGAGACACAGATAAGGAATCAGTGTCCCGCAGGCGTTTCGAAGTGTCTCTTCCCCTCTAGTAGCCGGACACTGTGTTTGTGTCTGAGCCACCGATAATCTACACATTGTTATGAATATGTTCAGACGAGACACACGAGACCGCCAATTTATACCGATTTTAAACAATAATTAATAAATAATTTATTGAGGCAGTAATTATTTTATTACATATTTTGAAATTGATCAATAATTATGATCCTTGATACGGACAAATTCATAGTTGAGATTGAAAAACGGAAAGAGTTGTGGGATATTGCAAGCACTAATTATGCTAATAAGATCATAAAACGAAATTCATGGATAGACGTGTGCCGAATATTTTGCGAGAAATATGACGAAATGCCAACAATTGAACAAAATGAAATGAGTAAGTTACTTATTACATAATATAAAACAACAAATTTATGTATTAAGAAGTATTAGTATATTATTAAACATTATAATATTACAAAAATATTATATACCTATAATAATATACATTTATATGAAAAAAAAGGTATTTAGGTATATTTTTATATATAAATATTTTTTTTTTTTCATCATAGTATATTATTAGGTATTATTTATTATTATTAGTATTTAAGTATTACAGAAACTACATACATAAAATTAAAGTACGTCATAGTTAATTTCAATTGAAACTATATATATGAATTATTTTTAAATACTATCTAATTGCCATGGTACTTGTCCTACATCCATAAAATAATCAGCAAAATGGTCACGAATACTAGTTGGTGTTTTTCCAGCTGTGTTATCTAATATTTCATTCATACTTGTGAATCCTTGGTATGATAATGTATCTTCGAATGTTAATGTATTTTCATCTCGTATACGAACAAAATTATGAAGTATCACGCAAGCTTTAATTATGTCTTCAGCAAAGTCTTCTGATACGTTTAAAGGCCTGTGAAATATTCTCCATTTGTTGGAGAGAATTCCAAACGAACATTCAATTAAGCGACGTGCCCGAGACAAGCGGTAATTAAATACCCTTTTCTTTATTGTTAAATTTTTCCCTGCATATGGGCGCATAATATGTTGAGATAATCCAAAAGCCTCATCCCCAACAATGACATATGGCAGCTTTGGTCCACTAGTACCTGGTAGTATAGAATTATCTGGTATATTCAATTCATTTTTTATCAGCTTTTTAAAAAAATTGGAATTTTTAAATATGGAAGAATCACTGTTTTTTCCATAATCACCGATATCAACTGCTGTAAAGCAATAATTGGAATCACAGACAGCTAATAATACCATTGAAAAAAAATGCTTATAGTTGTAGTATTGGGATCCACTATGAGCTGGTTTAACAATTCGGATGTGTTTCCCGTCAATTGCGCCAAGACAATTCGGAAAATTAGTCACATTCATAAAGTGTTCAGAAATGTCTAACCATTTGTCATTGGTTGGTTCAGCCATATATATGTCTTTGAGATTATTCCAAATTGCTTCACACGCTTCCTGAATTATTCCACTTAAAGTTGAAATTCCAATTCTATAATTGTAGTGTAATTCAGTAAGTGTACATCCGGTGGCAAGATATCTAATAAGAAAAAATATAGTATGAAATTATACAATAATCATTAAAAAAATAATAATTATATTTAATAGCTACTTGAGAACTTATATATAGTATTTAAATCATAGTGTAAATTTAAACAAATGGTAAAAATGTAAAGCTTCTTCAACTGTTACTTTTTTAATAATAACAAAAATCAAAATTCGTTTGATAGTAAATCGTTATTTAACGGAATATCATGCAAATTTAAAATTCAAATGTTCATACATTTTTTTTCTAAATTGAAGCTCAAGTTTTTTTTATAGTTAATTGAAAAACAACTTATGAATAACTTTGTGTTGAAGTTTTTTACCTTATGTACAAAAACCAAAAATTTAATGAATTATCAATTATAAAATTGTTTGTGAATTAACGATTTTGAAATATTTCGTTAAAATTTTAACTTAAGCTCTTAGAAAAAAAAATTTAACCAACATAAAAAACACTCGTCATTGTAAAATCTAAAATTTTACTATTAACCATAAATATTAGATTTATTATTATTTTGTTAATTACAGTAAAGGAAGTACAAAGAAAATGGAAAAGTCTTAGGAATTGTTTTGCACGCGAGCAATCTCGAAGAAAAAATATTAAGTCTGGCTCAGGTCAATCATCTTGGAAAACGTACGTATTTTATAATCAGTTATCATTTCTTGGATCAAGTGCAACAAATAGACCAACTACATCTAATGTCACTCCTACACATGATGATGATGATGATGATGATGATAATGATGAATTGGGCACAGAACAAAATACTCAAGATAGTGAACATTTTTTTGAGTCGACAGAAGAATCTCAAACTCGCAGAAATCAGAGACAAAAAAAAAAATCAAAATCAAACCATAATGAATCTGAAGAAAATTTGTTTGGAACTATAGCCAGAAGTTTAGAATTTAGAAACCAAATGGAAAAAGAAGCAATGGAGGATCAAGATCGACTATTTTTGTTATCTTTAGTGGGTGATTTAAAAAAAGTCCCCCCTCATTTGAAAATGCAAGTGAAATCAAATATAATAAATGTTATCAGTCATAGCCTCGCACTCCAACCACAAAGAATTGATTTTGATCCACGTTGTCAGTTAAATCCTCCAAATAGTTATCAAACATTACCTTTTACTCAACACCCATTTGGACTCCAACAAGCTGCTACATCTCAACAACCACTTTCAACATTTACACAAGCCTTTCCGAATCACTATACTAAACGTATGTCTGATGTTCAATACAATAATCAAAATATTAACTACGCAATGGATACTTCATCTACATCTACCAACAGTAATAATTCCTCGTTAGACGTAGAAAGTAGTCCACCAATTAATTCAAACTTGGTTAGTTACATAAATGATTATACATCCTCAGACAACTAACAAGTGCGTAATAAGTATTTTTGATCAGTTTAAACGAGTTGTTTTAAATCTACGTTTTATTTTAAATATTATTACTTAGTAAGTGATGTAAAAGTATACACACATTTTTTTATAAGAACGGTTAAAATACTATTTTTTATTTTATAATCTCATGTTGTTTAAAATTATAATTAGTTTTATTTATTTTCATGAGCTCATGTATTAATTAGATAAAAACTAAAATTAATAAAGTATTTGATAAAAATAAAATAGTTGAAAATGTCCTTACCTCAATGTGACAGCTAATCTTTCTTTCGTAGAAATTGGCCTTCTCATATTTGTTGTTTCCTTTTTAACACTCCTTTTAATTAAATCATGCAATTCAAAAAAGGACTTGGAGGACATGCGAAAATAATTTGAAAAATTTTTGTTCACTTTTAAGTAAATCAGTAAACAAGCATGTAAAATGTCCTTTTTCATTTCTGGATTGAACAATAGGATGTACCCAATAAATCCTTTCAGTCCTTTTAGCTGGTTTATTTTTTTTTTTAATAAGAGAATACAACAGTATTGCCTCCTCCACCTTCATGATTACGACTAGAGTCGGGAGTACGATTAATATGCACGTACAATACATAATTAACAGACACTAGTGTACGGCAAGTGTCTCGTGTGAATCAAAGAGACACTTTTGTAAACAGTAGCACGATTCTTGTGGTCGGCCACAAAGTGTCTCGTGTGAAAAAGCTCTTAAATGGCAAACATGTTGCCGGCAGGTTTGTTTAACTCGAACACTAATCATTTGTACAGGTATACAACACATTGGCTAATTATTGATTTCACAGGTTTTCAGTAAAGTAATTAAATATTGTAACAATAGTTTAAATTAAGCTTGAGGGATTAAAATTATTACTATCCAGATTTATCGGTATTTTGTAGTATAGCTTATAATATAATATCTATAACAACGGACGAAATAGTTAAAACTCTTTTCAAACTGTTCAAACAATTGTTGACTAATTTATGTTATATGAGTTGCCTAGATAGATTAAACCAGCGGTACTCACTAAGCTGCAGTCTTTTGATAAATTTTGTGAGGCCCTCGCTAAAACTAAATCGTACATTCTGAAATTCAAAGTTCAATAGTGTAAATATAATAAAATGAGTATTTTTTCGATTCCGTGTAATTTTATATTCGATAACTTTTATTTATCTTATCTTATTATTCTTGCTAAAATATTGCAATAGAGTTGTGGAATACACTACAAGAAAATCAGTACGATTCCATTTGATCAATTGTAAGAGCAATTTTATCAATTCTAAGTAAACGAATATATGTGTATATATGTATGTGTGCGAAGCGACTTTTAGCAAAATAGCATTTATCAAAAACAAACATAGCTATCGTTTGAGTGATGCACATTCGGACTTGATGAAATTCTTAACTTTGGATGTCAACATTAAAATCACCCGTGGACATAAATAAAATAATACAAGAAACATCAAGGTACGGTCCATCAACATCAAAACAACTTAAAATAAAAAATCAATACAAAATTATTACTATTCTATTAAATTAAATAATTTTTATAAACTGTGAAATTTTTGTAACATTTTAACTATCAATTAATCAACGAATATTAATTAATATATAATTTCTAAATTTTTTTATTTTAATCATTACCATTGAAAATGTATTAAAAATTATTATTTGGCCCTTTCTAAAATCTTAGTAAGGATCGCTGGATTAGACTCTTGCCCCTCCACCCCCCCTCCCCACAGTCCCAGTGGACCTAAAAATAAATAAATAATGTCAAATTGACATTCATAGAATGCTTTATTAACAAGACCAACACAAGGTCTCTCATAAGTTGTTATAATAGCGGTTGAGAAATATTAAAGCTAAAAAGTCACGAAGTTTTTTTTATAAGTATTTAAATTTTAAATTTTGTCAACATATCAAATCTTGATCATTTTCAAATTATTTCGTGGTTAAAAAAAAAATAAAATGTTTAAGTTTTATAGCTCAGAATTGATTGAAATTTTAAAACAAAGATTCTCATCAAAAGTTATACTGTATCCAAAAAATCTAAAACACAGTTGTTTGTATAGACATTTTAAGTTCAAATTTTGACGAAACAACATATAAAATCAAGAATTATTCATAAAAAAAAAAAATTAAAAATATTAAAATAACTACTTCCGTTCAGGAATTATTTGATTGAATAAAAGTCAATAGGGTTTATCATATATTTTGAAACAATGTTAAAATATAATTTTTAGATGAATAACCAGACAGTTGAAGATTGTAATGGATATTTTAGATATTTCATTTGATATGCCTTAAAAGTTTCAATTACTCATGAATAATATTTTTAGATTATATTAAAATAACTAAAATTGTTATTCTTTGTTTAAATATCCAATTTCGTCCCAATTTAAACTTAAAATGTCTATAAAAAGCTGTTTGCATATTTTTTTAGATTTTTTGGATACAGTATTAACTGTTTATGGGAATACTTGTTTAAATTTTCAATCCTCGAAATATTATTTAACTATATTTAAAGAAAAAAAAACTAAAATGCCTATAAATTGGTTAAAAATATTAAAAATATTTAAAAATTAAAAATTGTGATATTTTATATTATTTCTTGTTTAATCATAAATGTTAATACATCTGTTTGGTGAAATTTAAAATATCAACGGTAATTCGTTTTTGAATTACAATAAAATATACATTTTTTAAAATAAATGTTGATGAGTAAACCTTAATTTATGGGAGAGTACTGAGTATCGGATATCGTAATAATGTTAAATTAAAACGCTAAAAAAAAAAAGAATAACAGTTTTCCTTAAACATTCTTTTTTTTTAAAGGCAGAAATACCTATGAGGAATCTTCTAAAAAATTTTCAAATATTAGCTGTGAAAACATACATTTTTATAAATTTTCAACTGTAAATTAATTTCAATTTTTTCAAAATTCTTACTCTAGACTATCATAAAATATATATTAATATATTATATTGACGTAAAATATGGTATTTGAATGTATTATAATTTATAATATAGTATTATATTATAACAAATATCAACGGAGATTAGTATTCCTTACTAAAAATAGAAATACCCAGTTGTTGATTGGCCGCTAATAAATCGTAAGTAAATATAAAAAATATTCAAACGCATATTATAATAATAATGGGAAAATATTCCCTTATCCTTAATAATCTAATCTAATTTAATTTAATTAGAATGATTATTCATAACCTACATAATATTTTAAGCCATATTGCGTACAAAGTGTGTCCCAAAACTCCCGTATCGCTGTTGTCCATGGAAAATCATGCATTTTTTTCTACAGTATTTTGTAAGTCAATTCTATTTGAATGTATATGTATACTTTTTTATCACACTGCAGCGTGTGGATTGTTTCCAATAAAACGTTTAAAGTAATTGACATTTCACTTTAACTTGAAAATGATGATAAAAGTATTATAATATTACAATAAATTACATATAAATTTTATATGATTACCTAATGAAAAACAATGGTTAGTATACTTATCTATAGTACAGTAAGTTATTAAAAAATATTAATATACAAAATAGATCTAGATTTAAATATGAAATCAAAATAATACATAGGTAAGCAATATTTCATTAACGATCTACTATAACTTTATAAAAATAAATATGACAACAATATTATCAATAAATATGATGTAAAAACACAAAAATATAATTTTATTAAACTTTGGTAAATCAAGGTAATACATACTGTTAAAATAGATAAAAAATAATATCGATAATTATAGGGTATGCATAATTACCTAATAATTCAATATTTAAATGTTAAGTATTTGTTATTAGTTATTGGGGTTTTTCCTATTTCGGAGTTTTTTTTCCTGGGCTTTTTTTTCTTAGATTCATTAATAAAACAATGTGTACCTACAACAAGTCGGTAGTTCTTCATTTCGACAATACAGTAATCATTTTAATAATTAAAACCAATCGTATGGAGCCCTCTAGTGCCGCATTTTAAAATTATACGCCGCGGCGTGTCCTCGTGAACTTTTTAGATTTTGAGTAAAGAGAAAAATTAATGATTTCACAATAATGTGTGCTTCCCGAAAGTATATGCCATTGGAGCCTTGCTTATAATTTTATTCAACATGAAGTTGTTTTAGATTCTGTGCGGAGTAATGAGTGCAAATATTGATTTAACAGTGTTGTTTTTTTTTATTTCGTTTTCATTTCGTGTACTGTAAGTTATTAGTGGCTTGATTCGTTAAATAAATGTGATCGTCAAATATTTTTAGTAATATGTTTTTTTATTTTAAAATGTTCTTTATAAACCCTGTTACAATAGTTGTGAACGTGAGAAGATTTTTTCTCAACTCGCCATTGTAAAAAGTAAACTTAGATGTACCATTTCCCAGAATAGACTAAATGCGTTATTGTTTTTTATTTGTAGAACAGAACTACTTCTGTAACTACTATGTACAATGGTGTAGTTTATGAATTAAAAAATGGAATACCTACCTAGCTGTGGAGCTAAGATTAGTATTTTAAGTTTATAAGAGTTTCGATTGTTTAATTATTACAACTTTAATTATGTACTTGATTTTTCTTTTAAATAAACATCTTATGATTTATACTCACGTATTCAGAAATATGCGAGTACATTTAATTTTAATTTTAATTTTTATAATATTGATAGGTACATTGTCATTATTTTAGATTCTGAGCAAAGTGATGAATGTATGTTTTTACAGTGAGGTGTGTTTTTTTTTTTAAATTTTTTTTGTGTCTGTCATCACGGTTTGGGGTAGTAAAGTATTTCGATTTTCTTCAGCAGAAACTTTTCTGTTAGGAAAGTGAACTTATCTGATGCATTCGTTAAGTCAAAATTTAAAAATTCCCAAAAGCGACAGGAGAAATAAACAAAAAATGAAGGGAAAATGGAAATTTTTACGCAAAACCAGTTACCAAAAATATCGATTTTGGTTTTTATCGTAGCTCTAAAATAAAAAATCATAGGTACATGCAATTTTCATTGAATGTTTGACTTAGCATTTTCTATACAGTATACGATTTTCAAAATATTTTGACCCGTGTTGATTTATTTATAAGCAATAAGCA